AAATATATATATATATATATATATATATATATATATATATATATATATATATATATATATATATATATATATATATATATATTAATGCTACACATTTTTATTATTTAAAATGTAATTCATTTGATGAGTATTTAAAGATAAATAATTAAAATATATATATATTTCTTGTACCTTTTTTAATAAATTTTTTGTTATATTTTGTTTTATTTTTGTTTTTATTATATTTTTTTTTTTTTTTTTTGAAAAATTTAGACATTAATCCTAAATAAGCAATTAAAAATATATTTTTTTCTCTACAAACAATTATATGATAATTAAAAAAATAAATATAATAATGAATAAGAAAATAAAATAAAGTACAATTAATTTAAACCTATTTATACTTTTAGGTAAATATAATTTTTAAAATTTTTTTAAAAAAAGATAAGCAGAAATATTCAGTAAAAAAAAAGAATAAAATAATCTTATAAATCCTTTTATATAAATAATATAAATTATATAATTTTCATTTTTATGAAAATGACTTATATTAGACAGAGGTTATAGAATTAAAATTTTTATAAATTTTTATAAATTTTTTTTTTTTTTTTATTTTGTATTTACATCATGTAAGGAAAGTTTAAAAAATTTATAAATGAGAATACTTTATTTTTAATAATTAAAAAAAAAAAAAAAAAAAAACAAGGAATCCCATTTATAATTAAATAATTCATAAGTTTTAAAATAAGATAAAATTTTAAATTACAAAGTTTAATCTAACTATTTTTATTTTTATTTTAGCTTTTGCCTTTGTCTTTGTTTTTGTTTTTATGCTTGTTCTTTTTTTGTTATGAAATTTATAAAATTATATATATATATATATATATAATTTGATTATTATTAATTCATTTATTTTTTTTTTTTTTTTTTTACAATTGTACTAATGAAATAACTTCTATACATGTAAATGTACAACTGTTGTCTTACAGTAACGATTATTTTTAAAATAATTATTATATACTTCTCTTTTATTAATTTTTTTTTTATTTTTTGTTACTTTTTTTTTTTTTTTAAAATGAGTAGACATAATTTTTTTATGATAATTATAGCATTAATTGGAATTATTAATACTATTTTTTGTATTCCTTTCAATCAAAATGAAAATAAAAAAGTTGAAAGTTCATTAAGTTCAAATGGACTTTTAAAAAATGTTGTCAAACATTCACCAAAAATAAGTGAAGAGGAAATCAACAAAAGTGAAATTAAAATAATAAAAAAAGCTCATGAAGAAGAAAATAAAAAATTAACAAAATTAGGAAAATGTATAAAAGATTATACATTATCTTGTCCAAAATATTGGACAAAAAATACTACTGAGAATGGAAAAATTACATGTGTAGCTGATTCTGAATATAATGGATTTTGCATAACAAATCAATCATTTGAAAATTTTACAGAAAATGATAAAATGAATTTTGAATCCAGTTGTAATGTTGAATGGCCATGTAAAACAATATCAAAAGATACATGTGAAGATGGAAAAAAAGATTATAATAATCCATGTCCAGAAGGTTTTTTAGTACAAGATGATAATAGTTGTAAGGCAGATATTACTGTTTATAGAGGTATGTGTAATAGTAATAATATTAAATTTACACATATGTCTGATGAAGAAAAAGAAAACTGGAGTATTTCATGTGAGGCTTATTGGCCTTGTTATAAAGAATGCTCTTCTGAACAATTTCTTTCAAACTGTCCAAAAGATTGGAATGAAATAAATTTATATGAATGTATTCCAACACAAAACTATCGAGGAATTTGTAAAGGAAAAAAAAACTTTAAATATTTTACAATATCAATGAAAAAAAGTTTTGAAGAAAAATGTAAAACAAGATTTTTGTGTTCAAATTCCTGTGAAAAAAATTATGAACAGGATTGCCCAATGAATTGGCTAGCAGAAAAAGGATACTGCTTGGCTCCACATACATTTGATTTATGCAATAAAAAAAAGTTATCTATTGAAAATTTAACAACTAAAGATAAACAATTTTTTGAAAAAGAATGCTCAGTAAATTGGCCTTGTAAAAAAAAAAATTTTTGTGAAATGGATTGGAATTTTGAATGCCCTGAAAATTGGGAAAAAGAATATCTAAAAAATCAAAAAGAACAATATATATGCAAATCTCCTTCTTTATATAAAGGAAAATGTAATAATATTTTCTTAACAAATAATTCGAACGAATATATAAAAAGAGAAGTAGCTTCAAATTGCAATGCTCCTTGGCCATGTATTGATGAAAAAAAAAAAAATTCTTTTGATCCAACAGAACATAAAATAAACAATCAAGATAATTTTCCGAATGAAATAAACGGTCCAATAACACAAGAAGGGAAAATTTATGAAAAAAAAAAATACACAATTGAAGATAGAAAAAATTCTAGTTTTTTTGATATTATGATATAATGAAAAAAGAAAAAAAAAAAAAAAAAAAAAAAAAAAAAATTAAAAATAGGATTAAGAATAAAAAGTTACAACAGAATAAAATAAAAAAATTTTTTAAAAACAAAAAAATTTATGGAAAATATTTTTCTGAAAATATATTAAAATATGATAATATTTTGATTGGGTTTATTTTTAATATTATTAATATGCTAATTTTTTTAAAAATATTCTTGCTAATAAAATGTAAATTTGTTTTTATTACAATATTAAATTGGATTATATTTATAATTAAATGTTAATTGAAAAGTATTTAAAAATTAAGATTAACTATTCTAGAACACTTCTAATTTTCCTGTATTTGCAACTATCTAAAAGTAACCTTAATTTTATAACTTATAAAATATATAATAAAACTTATATATATATTATGTAGAGTCAGATACATTATCTTATTATAAAATAAAAATTTACAATTAAAAATGGAAAATTTCTCGTTAAAAAAAAAGAAAAATAAAAGAAATAAAATAAAACTTATTTTTATCAAACTATTCATTCACTATAATAAATATATTTTTTTTGCAACAAGCAAAAATGACATTTATAAGGAGATATTTTATCACCTTAAAACATATTTAAAAATTGAGAAAAACATGAGAAAGATTTTGTTAAAAAATTAGAAATATATAATATTGAAATTTTTTCTTATATTACTATATATTTTTTCCTCTTTTATAACTTTTGAAAAGCTATAAATATGAAAATAGTTATGTAAATATACTATAGAAATTTTTTTTTTTCTATTCCCTTTTTCATTTTTATTTTATTTTATTTTTTGTTTTATTTCAATTATATATATATGTGTATTTATGTAAGGACTATTATTAATTCTTTTCTATATATATATATATTTTTTTTTTTTTTTTTTTTTTCATTATAGAACTGTAAAATCAGGAAGTCTGTTTTTCTTCATTAGAAATTATTTATTTTTATTAATAGATTTATTGCACAAAACTTTTTCATTGAAATTTAATGAAAAAAGTGTAAAAAAAAAAAAAAAAAAAAATTACTATTATTAACGGTTATTTAATTATTTGAATATTAATTTGTTTTATTTAATTCTAGATGTATATATATTTGTTGTTTTTTTTTTTTTTTTTTTGT